TCTGTCTGTGGTTTACATGAATTCCATATAATGGTATCTGATCCTTGCAACATATCTGGGAGCTGACAAAGTACCATCCTTCAAATGTGCTTGGGAACAGATATACAGGGAAATTCTTCCTTCAGTTGACTAGAAAATAACCTTTCCCCCTATTTTTAATTCAAATGGTATTTATTTCCAAACTGGATGGAATGAAAATACAGTTATGGGTGTTAGACCTGTGCTGGATTTAAGTCCATCTTTTTAGGTTCATAGGAAATCCAGCATTAAGTCATTGGAAAGGGGAAGACTGCTTCTGTGTGGACAAGAGCAGTTAGCAGTGCTGTTCCATCAGCAGGGAACTCCGACTGCCCATGAGGACAGGGCAAGAGCAGGGGAGTCAGTCAAACACAAGAGAGAAGGGGGAGGAGGGAGAAACCCTAGAGCAGGAGGGGAAATCGAATGGACCAGAGGAAGAAGGGAATAAACTGCTTGGTTATTGAGAAACTGCTTGCTATTCAGTTTCAGTAAGTAAGTTAAGTAAATTCACACTTAAAAAACAATTAAATATGGGGAGTAACTGCTTTAAAGTACCAGTGTAGGCAGAGCTAGACTGCTCAGTGGTTAACTGAGTGCTGTGAGTGTTTTTTTTTTCTGGGTCATGCAGTTATACCAATCCCACACAAAGGGAAACTTTAGACCGTATGTGAAATCTTCCTTATTAAATTTGTATTTTCAAACAGTGACTAAAACCACTCATGGCTAAATTTGTTGAGGGATATTAGATTAAGGTGTTTTGATTGTGAACTCTTTCAGGATATTGTAATAAAAAGTTGAGTAGAGTTTGAACTTTCAGGTTTTTACAGGAAAAAAGCAGTGGCCACTCTGCTGTATGATTTGCTTGCAAATACGGTTACTGCCTATCTGCTTTAGGATTGGGTGGAGTGAAAGAAGTTGCCGATGATGTTAGTCATGACAAAATGAAACATTTCAGAGGAGAAGAGTAAGAAGGAAAAATAGTTCAGGGTAGCAAAAGCAGCAGCTGGAATGTAAGAATCTTGTCCATCTCAGGCTTTGGAACTTAATCTTAGTCAAGAGATGTTGTGCTGTGTACTGTCTCCTCTTTCGTTACCCAGCACTTTGCTTTCACAGGCACATACTGAGAAAAACTAACTCTTCTATGGCATTTTGCTTTGTTGAGATTGGAGTCTTCAGTTCTGTGGCTTATTCTCTCTGTCCTAAAAGACAGAGATGGTCCTAGCTCAGCCCAACAGATAACCTGTAGGATTTTTTTAGCCACTTTTCTTAGCTGTAGGAAATTAGTACAAATTCAAAGAGTTTCCTCTCAAAATAAGTGTCTTGACCACCAGTAAGTTGTGGAGTATGTTATTTTTCTTATTCTGATGCAGATTTTATTATGTCATAGTTACCTTTTCTCAGCACAGTCCACAGGACAGACCAGTTCTTGGGTGAGTTGCTCTTTTAGTGTGAAAACAGATGGAAATTTTTCTCCTAGCTTTGCTGGTTCATGCTGGTTTTCTGTAACTGACAGGGATGAACAAACCTGTCACTTACTTATATGTGTTGGGTTTCTGGAAAGTGCCATGGGTGAGTTTATCAAAATGTGTTTTGTAGAACACCATTCACAGGAAGAAAACCTTCGTATCCCAGATGAGGTACGCAGTAACTATTACCTCAGCCAAGCAGACTGCTGTGACTCAGTGAAGGAGGAGTGTGCCAGCCAGAGAGAAGGCTTCATTTAAAACCTGTGGCCTGAAGGTATGAGGATTTACCTGGGAGAGCAGTGTTTTACTCCTTGCTTCGACCTGGCCAAAAGCTGGTGATTAACAGGTTCATTTCCCATATTTCTGGCAGATGTGTTTCTTTTCCTGGGGCTGCAGATGCCTGCTTGCTTGCTTTCTAAAGCTGATTTTTGTATCTGCGAGGAGGCTGTGAGGGTAAATTCATACATAAACCTAGAGTTTCTCTTCCTGGAAAAATGAATACATTCAAGCACACTTTCTAGGTTTTTGGTTTCATCTCACAATGTGTTTACAGCCGACCATTTTCCTGTTAACAGCTGCTCTACTTTTGGCTAACTTCCGTTTTAGCCTAGTAGTTTTTCACTGATTTAGGAGAAATGTGTTCATGGCTGACAGGCTTCTGGCTATTTGTGGAGTCACTTCTTTCCCCTCTAATGTTCTACTTTGAGTTAGGCCTCTCCAGGAGAGGTTTCCTGGGATGTTAGTGCCCTTGCGAATGAAAGGAACAAACTGCAGTTGCCTTATGGCAGAAGTTACCAGGCATTTCTTAGTGTCTGCAGTGTCCTTCATTGTTTGCCAGTCTTGCTTTTAGCCTCATTAGCTGCCATGTAGATCAGAGCAGGAGGCCACCATGAAAGAGAATTGTTGCTTCAAAGCCTTATGCACTGTAGTGGTTTCAAAGGAGTGCAGACAATCGATTGCTCCACAGCCGGGAGCAAGGATTGGGTCCTTAAGGTCCCACATTTGCTGCCATTGAGCTATCACTTGTACAACTAACTTACTGCCTGTTCTGTTAGCTAATCCAAAGCAGAAACAAATAGAAGATAATTCTGTAGAGGTGGTGAGTCCCTATAAGCTCAACTAGTGAATTTGTCATCACTTGCTGTGTAAGAAGCCAGAGTTAGCCTGAAGCATTGTTCTTTTTTGTAACAGAGGGGAAATGACTCTGGTCTACATGATCCAGAAGCCTGAGGAGCCACATCATCCTGTGATGTTGGCCTGATGAGCTGTAAATAATCCTGGCTCAACCCCACTGTTCTGTGTCTTTGCTGTGTTTTCAGTGAGAGGAGGGGGAAGGCCGCGTGTTTCCCAGATAATGGGATATCTCTGTGTTTATGAACTAGACTACCTGTTCCATGGTCAGTGCAAGAACTGCTTTTAGTGCATGCAAAGAACGAAGTGTAGGGGGAGAGAGTGGTTTGTGAATGCTTGTACACAAGTGTCTGGATAATTAACTCAGCTGCTAGGTAGGAGCATTTAAATCCTTAAAGATGTTTTCTGTGGGAAATACAGAGTAATCATCTCCTCAGGCACTCAAAAGAGACATGGTTAGATTCTCACTTCTGCCTAAATTGCACATCAGGAATTTAGGTGTTGATTTTGAGTCTCACCTGAAATAATTTATTCCATATCACAAGAATTTAAACCTAGTCTTACTCCAGGGTTACACCATCATCAGTAGACCATGTTTCCTAGTTCATTTGTCTCCACTGACAAGCTGGTGCAGTACAGTGAGGGCCCATGTCAGGTTGCTCTTTTGGTCCCACAGGAACAAATTCTGATTAGCAGTGGAAGCCAGGAGTGGACACTGACCCAAGTTACAGAGGGTATTCCGGGATAGCGTGGTTACTGTTTCAGGTGCTCACATGGCAGCATCCCAAGCCTTACATATTAGTTAACCTACAAGTTATTGCATATTACTTAACATACTAGTTGCTGTATGTGAAGGGTCTTTGATCTATGAATGAGCCCAACACATGGTGCTTGTTCACGGTATGTTAACAGCAGAGATGTTATTTTTAGCTCCTGAATTCTTTTTTACTATTAGAGCTGAAAGACCTTTCGTCCTTAAGACAGGCAACTGTTCACAACATAGTGTATTTGGGACAATGTGTTACATAAGGCTGACACCTCTATTTGGAACATTTTTTTTTTTCAGAAAGGGTAAATAGCTTTTTAAGTAGCCATAAAAAATCTAAATAAAGTAGTCATGTTTTATAAAGTTTTAAAAAGTACTGTTGTCTTTGGAACATGTAATTTACAGATCTCACTGCAGTAATCCTTGATTTAGAACAATTACTGCACTAAGTACTTGCCTTTTTTCCTCCTTTAAAAACAAAACCAAACCCCAGCCCAAAAGCCAGACAGGTTTCCAGCAAAGGCTGGGATAATTGACTGAAAAGGAAACATAGCCAAGTCTTGCAAAACTCCAGTATACAGTTGCTGTTCTCTCAGAGATATTTTCTCCTGCCATCTGAGAACCTTGTAACTTGTTTTTCTTTTTTGTTTTTAATATAATCACTAGTTGCTAGAAATATATTGCAAAAACTGATATGCTCGTCACAGCCTTACAAATGGGTTTGTGTGCAGGACATGCTGGTTTAAGAGGAAGCTGTTTTATAATGTTTTTAATTATTAAATGTCTTATGCAACAGAGTTTAAGGGTCATTTACAAACAATTCAATTCCAAAGCTTCCTTAGGCAGTAAGTCACCTATGTCATTTCTTGTAGCTCAAGCTTGACTCAGTCCAGTCTCACACCAAACAAGATTTGGGAGCAGGAATAAAGGGAATGGTGATTCAGTGTACAGTTCATAATATTTCTTTGGCAGGGTGCTCACAGATCATTGGACTAGTTTATCTGTGAATACAGTGGGTTTTTTTGTTTGAAGTCCTTTAACAGAAGTGAGGCAGCTGTGCTGCTTCTGTGGCAGGAAATCTCATGGGCCCCACTGGCAGTAGGCAGGCCATGCCGACTCTCTGGATCTGACACCATAAAACCAGGCCCTCCACTGCTGATTCTGCAGCCAGCTTCAGTCCTTGACTGTAGTCTCCTACCTCTTGTGTGGGCATGGGATGTATCCAGAAACAAAGGAATCCATATTCCTAATCATCAGCTTAAAAGCACTGCTGTGTTTACTAAATTTTGCTAGGAAACTAAAGATAGAAGTAGGGATCCTTGGTACTTCCACTTAGGCCAAAGATAACTGAGCAGCACAAGGAATTATTGAGCCTGCTCATTCCTTATTCCTGGTATGGAACCGAGACTTCTCACTTTCCGAAGAAAAAGTAACTTTCCAAAATCACTTCAGATGATCAAACAGCTGAACAGACTCACTGCATTTCCTAGAAGAGAAGACCAAGCCAAAAGTTTTTAGCCTTAGAAGTGACTGTGCCTTCCTGGGCTTGCTTCTACCTTTGAGGGGATTCTAGTACAAGCCATTCTCATTTTTTAAAGCCAGTTTTAAAGACAATTGACTTTAGTTTTATTACAAAGCTTTTATTAAAAAACAAATGCTCAGCACATAAACTGGAATGACAAAAAAAAATTGGTTGACAGTATTTTTGGCAAAGGCTGTGCCTTACTATTTTAAAAAATGGGTACATCAATGCTTATTTCAACAACTGGCATAAAATCCCACTAACAGGCTAACAAAAACAGATACAAATACAGAACAATTGAAGTAATAATTCAAGTGCTGGGCTTTTTACAAGGAGAAGGGAAATGGGTGAGAAGGAGAACTCACTGCAGTCAGATTTGCTGGATGTATTGCTTATGTTTACAGAGTAGATGATGCAAGACTAACATGTCTACTGACCAGCTGACTGTTGTTACATTTATTTAGTTCTATAGGACACTATTATATAGACTGAGAGGCCACTATTTGTTACAAATAGTTTAACAAAACAGCCACCTTTTTTTCCATACAGGTTTTTCCTCTGGCAGAAAAAAAAAAAAAAAAGAAAAAAAAAAAGAAAAACTCCTTTTATTTAAAAAGTATTTCAGATTTCTGACACTTGTTTAAAAGCTCATACCTAGTAAAATATACACCAAAGAAATTACAAACTAAAAGTTAAAATATAAAAGCATTCAAGTTTCTTAAAAAAAGCTAAAACCAAAATTGATCCTGTCGCACCATTAAATAAAAAGAAGGTTGAGCGCATTATCCTGGTCCAGGCAAATTCCATTCCTCGATGTGCTGTATGGGGCAGCTGTGGTCTACATTATTCTGTTGGCTGAAGCAGGTGGAGACAGCCATGCTACTTTGTTTGCTGACTCTATATGGACACAGATGAGACAGGGGCTTACGAGTGCAAGGCAGAGGTGAAGACAAAAGCTGCTCTGCTGACCCAGGAGCTCATTTGCTCTATTTATATCGGGGCTGGACCTCGTGATAGTGAAGGATTTTGGCAGTGATTGTCTTTATGATTCAGTGTCTCTAGCAGTGACATCAGGGTGAATGACATCCTGGACAGACTCCTTGGGGGTGGTCTGTGCGGATGAAGGACACACCTAGGGTTTTAACAAGCTTCCATCTCCAGAAGGGGTCCTGGTGTCGCCGCCTTTGCTTTGCAAGTTGAGAAAGCATTTCTTTTCCCACCTACAGGGAAGAGGAGAGAGAGAAAGAGAGTTATAAGGACTATATGAAGCCTTTTTTTAAAAAAAAAAAAAATCCATCAAAGAAGCTGGTGGTGGTTCACTGTAAGTCTATGACACAACTGTAGTAGTGGAATGTGCATTTGCATTGTCAGAGTTAAATGCAGAATTAATTGCTACTTGCTTTTGCCTGAAGTTTGCAAGTATATTTACAGAGAGTACTTTGGATTGTAAAGAGATGTCAACACCAACTAGAAAGAGGGGTTTTAAGCATCCAACATGTTACAGAAGTACTTCCCTTTCACAGTGGATTTCATTTAACTGCAACATTTGACCCAGATATCCGTTGCAAAGCTAGACATCCTCAGGCTTTGGTACTGCAGTGGTTGAGGTCAATTAAACCTCTACTTCAGTCTCAAGCTCTACTCCCTGCAGAAATAAAAAACCACTGTTTTCTGTAAGCAGTTTGGTAGAGGAATGTGGGCGAGGCTTGTGTGAACACTAACTCTACCATCCACTCTCATGACTGGGGAGGATTTGTTCTGCTCTTCAGTGGGGTAGTGAACATCTTCCAGCTGTGTAAGAACCATGGGCCTCTTACCTAGCAGTGAAGTTCAGTAGGATCTTGGAAGAATTTATGTTCTTAGAGCACATGAAAAGTATGAGCCCAGTAGGTATTGCTCATCCAGTGAGGAACCGTTGTTCATCACTAGGCCTCTGGGTTACTTCAGCTGACTTATGCAATTGCTAACTCAACCATCACCCTGCCCTTCTGACCCAGACAACTGGGTTATAACAGGGCCTCCACCCAAAAACTGTCTAACAAGTCAGACATTTTTCCACAGATGGGCATGTGCTCTGCAGTAACAGTTTCATGGTTATTGGTATCTCAAAAAATCTGTGTTAACCTCTGTGTCTCCATGTACTTATCAAGTAGAAGGCTCAGTGAGCAGAGCTTTTGAGAATGACAAAAATTTGCACAAGGATGCAATTCAGTGGAGAAGGTAAATGAATTTTCATCAGAAAAAACACAAAAGGCTGTCACATAAAGATACACTGCCAGCACCTTGAATCACGCGAGGCATGACAGAACAAGTTTATGAAGAAATGGTTTAAACCACAAGTCAAACTTCAGTTAGACTAGTCATAATAGATAGACTGCTTGAGCCTGCAAGAGCTACAAGCTGAATTAGTCAGCAAATTTTACATTATATTACATTACATTGCAGCAGTATTTAAACCAGGGCCATTTATAACTGAGCACCCACCTCCCATCTGCTGCAGCTTCTGTTGTAAGCCTTCACAACACAAAGTGTTTCACTCATACTTGTCTGAGTACAGCTCCTGAATAAGGAGTTACACTGCCTAACGTACTCCAGGGTAGAAAGCCTCTAAAACTGATTTTATACTGTTTTATTTTAATCAGCATAAGCTGAGGCCTAAAATCTTACTAAACAAGTTGACTATTTGTCAGGGGTCCCCCACATGGCCATTGTTATAGTGGAAAGGAAAGCTGAGGACACTGAAGTTTAGCTGCAGACTAAGGTAGAAAAGACAAGCAAAAATTTATATCAATCTGTTCTGTATAGCTTAAATTTGATGCAGACTCTCTCCTATCCCAAATACTGCCATCCCTGATACATGATGAGTAATTTTCACCTGCTGCTGGTAGCCACAGAAAGACACTTAAAGCCACTGAGGCATCTTAAACAGCACAGCTAAAAGTCCACTGGCAAACCAGCAGTTTCAACAGAGGTGGTCTGTATTGACTAATTCAGTTCCTATTTCCTCATAAAACCAGCCCATGTCCCAACTAAAAAAAGCCTTCTGAGCTTCCTGCCTTTTTTTTTTATTTTTTATAAAGTAGCACAGTGCTCCATAACACGTGCGGATCAAAGAGCAACGAAGGGCTCTACCTTTCCAAGGAGCACGAAAGAGAAGCCAAGCAAACAGCAAAGAAACACTGGGGAGAGCACCCTGCAGCTTTATATTTATTTTGTGCCTTTTCATCCCGGATTTTCAAAGGTTTGGTCCAGGTTGCTCTTCCTGGGAAGGTTTTCCTCTCAGTCTTACATGAAAACATTCAGCTTCCTGTTGAGGAATGGCCTTGAGGCGCCAGGCCAGTAGTTCACAGCAGTCTGATACAAGTGCTGTGATTCAGAGCTACTCCCCATTAGCAGCCAGGAATGTCTACTTCACTGAAGGAAATGAAATGCTCTTCTGTTGAGATGGTTCCCTGCCTCCTCCCCCCTTCCCTTACCAGCAAGCTGTCTTTGAAGTCAGGAGGTTAAAATAACGACCGTGGCCTTGCTCTGGCCCTCAGCTTTTTCTAACAGCGGCCATCGTTTCTTTCTCAATCCAGAGGCAGCTTTTGCAGTGCCTGCCTCCTTTCCATAGCCCCTCTCAGCACCTAACTATGCCCTGCTCCGCTGGAGAGGCTGCAGACACTGCTGTGATTGGGGAAGGGGACAGGCATAGTGAAGCCCCACATACTTTTATTTCCAAGGGAATAACGCAGCACAGCAAATTACACAGTAGCTATCCTGAAAACATCATCTAGAACCCAGCCTTCCCCCAGCTGCACATTAAGGGTACATACTGGAAACTGCTCCTACTGCTGATAAACCAAATAATACCTAAAAAATACGAGTGATGATGGTGTTGCCTTACAGATATAAAACAGGTCAAATCAGGATTCTTTTCAAGAAACCACAGGCATGTGCTAAGGAGACTGAAGACTTCCCACATCTAAGGCTTCACTGGGGGGCTGCAGCTGAAGTCTCGCCAAGCAAGGCATGCCCTAGCAAAGCCCAATCCACAAGTGAAGTCGGCGCAAATCAAAGACTGCAATTACAGCTCCCTGGCTGTGGTTAGGCTTCAAAGAAAGTGCTGCAAGTCACATTTTACATATGTGAAGTCTTGAGCCTGAGCCACAATAGGAGGCACTGTCTGTGCCATTTGCAGTGTACATCTGACTACGGGAGGAAAGAGGAAAAAAAACACAAACCACCACCTCGAGAAAGAAACAGAAATAAGATTCAAGAATAATGCAGTGTAAAAAGAAAAGCCTTGCTCCTGAAGTGATAAAACTGTAATTTAGGAATCACTACAGTAAAACTAAAGTCTCCTAGCAAACCTGGGCTCAACAGCTGAGGGCAAAAGCATCACAGGAGGATCAGAAGTTTTCCCTATGCTTCAGAATGAGATGGATTGAAGGGTGGGTCTGCAAAGGTCTTGTGCTCCTCCTCTAGACTTTTAACTCATCTCAGCTTTTCTAGAACAAGGGAGAGGATTATGCAGCTTCATTCAGGCTAATCGGAAAAGGTTATGGAAGAAAGTCAAGAGTGTTTGGGTCAGTCCAGGAGTAAGTACGGAGTAAAAGAGGTAGGTAATTCTTCACAGAAAGCAACAGAAAGTAAGTATTTTAAACGAGGTGCTTTTTTTCTACACCATTCTCCACCATGGGTTGTTTTCATACAGTTGTAATAACAGAAGAGACTACATATAACGATAGTTATATGTATTTAAAAAAAACCCAAGAAACCAAAAACAACGTTAAACAAAAAGTTCAGCTCCAAACCTGGCTTTTAATCCAGCACTTCAAACGAAATGGCAAACTCAGGGACCCAGAAGCTGAAACTGCCATTTTCTTTTTAAGTCCAAACGGAACATGTTTGACTTACTGCCAGGGTTTTTTCAATACTCCAAAAACTTGGGTATGCAAAACCAGGTCATTATTTATCAGAGAGGTTCACAGTGTTTGTGAAGTCCCTCTGTATTTTCTTTAACAGCAAAGCTGGAGAGGCTTTCGGGCACAAGCAGATAGATGCCAGCACTGCAGTCTGCTCCTCTTCCTGCCCAGCTGTGCCATGGTTTGTGGGTTTATCCCAAACCAGATCCTTGAAATGTTCTGGGCAAACAAAAACAAACACTCCACAATCTTTGTTGTTTCTAAACAAAAAAAGTACCTCCCAACAAAACCCCAGTCATTTTAGTAATCCGATTTGCTGCAGGGTCCTACAGACTGTTACAGAACAGGGATGGAAAGACCTACAGGAGACAGGAAAAAGCCCTCTCTGCAAGAGATGGATACCAGCAGGCAGCAGAGGGAACTTTTTAAACTGCCTTTGTTGCCAAGAAATGACATAAAATTGTACCCTAAAACTGTAACAGCTGCTGCCATGTTGAAACTACGTGAGTATTAAGTTTTTCTTGATCTTTCCAACCCCCTCCATCCCCCTTGCTACTGTCAGCCTCAACCCAGGCTGGTAACTGTGAATGGAAACTCCAGAAGCAAATTATTCACTGATAGTTTAATTGCCCTGGAGTAACTACACCTGAAAATACCTCTCCACTAACTACAGGTGAAGTCTGGAGTCCTGACTTCTCTCCTTTCATTCTGACCTAAGCTAGATGTGCTAAGTGAGCACCAGGAATATTCCTCCCCTCACCTCCCCAAGTCAGAGACCTGTTCCAGAGCAGATTAGTGCCAGCACGGAAAACACCCAGGTATTCTAAGGTTCCTGCTTTGTGCAGGCAACAGCAGTGATGCCAAGCATGTATGGCTCTTATCAAAGGCCCCCATGTAGGCAGCACAAAACTACAACCTCTATCACTGAGCTACAATCTTTAAAATGATCCTACTGGAAGACCCAGGACATGTTTTTCCTGTTGGGGGTGGGAGGGGACAGAGGCTCCATGTTTATAATAAAAAACAGATTGCCTCTAGACAGCTGTCTCTAGCAGCTTCTTAAAGAGGAATAATATACTTAAGGTGAGGAAGAGGGAGGAAGAAATAGGCTTGTCCCCTCTTTGTATCTTTATGGCATATAACGAATATCCAGAAGACCATTGTTTAAATTATTTCTTTTATAGACTGAGTTCTAGGGGCTCTGAAATTGCTACTTCAGTTTTCACCTGCTAACAGAAAAGACATGATGTATGGGTAAAGCAGTAAGTGAAAATTCTTTCAGAAGAAAGAAATAACACAGATAAAGTTTCCTT